TATATATATATATATATATTTTAAATTTAAGATATCTTCAATTTTAGTTTTTATTAAAAAATAAAAACATTATCGTTTTTCTCAAAACCACGTAAAACCGTATCATAACATCGACTGGGACAGAATTCAACGAAATATTAAAATCGAGATGTATCTCGTTACAATGTACAAGTATCCTTCTAGTAAATAAATAACTGTTAAAGATATGATATATTTTGGATTATAATACCATATTGACGATGTACGAGTATACTCGAAAGTGGAGCAACATGCCAAAATTTTGATACATTGGGATTGTTGTATTCATTAATTAATTTAATACACAAATGATTAACATTTTCAACCATCATAAAATATTAATTTACCATTAAATAATTTTTCCAGAAAAGGTGTATATTAAAAAAATATCATCAAATTTGGAAAAATGGGAGGCAGGGATTTGATCGTAGCCGTTGATTTGATGTTGTAGGCTCTAATCAATTGTCAACTTTAGGTTTTATTGCATAAATTCGTTGTCTTTATTGAGCCCTTCAATGGTTGAAAATATGTAATTATCATTTTCTTTAATTCAAAAGATAAATAGCCTAAGAAATTAATATATTTTTGGGTTTATTTATTTTATAATTTTGTATGGTTTTAAGAAATTACATTTTATCGAATTAGCAAGGTATTTACAGTTATCTTGTATTTGAATGTGTTTATAAGTTGGTTATGAGTTGTTTTATAAAGTTTCAAAAGCATTAGTAATTTGTATGTATGCGATAGTTTGTAAATATTGTATATGATATGTGATGTGTAACAACCCCAAAGCTTACACCAATGAACTGATCCAGTAACTTCGAATCCAACTTAAAATCATGATGGAAGTTATTAGTAGCCCACTACTTGAAACTTATAAGAAACTAACAATTTTCACTTTCTTGTGGGATGAGCTGTTACAAACTCCCTCACTTAAACTCTTAACGTCCATGTCAATCCTGCCTAGAATCTTTCTACTTGTCATTGACAACGTGGGATTCGTGTAAGATATTACAAACACCCATTCTCGAGAACTCATCATACTTGATGAGGGTTTCCCCACCATCTCGATGGTACAAGGATCGACTTTGATACCATTTGTAACATCTCAGGCCAAACGTACCCGATATTGTCCGCTTTGTTTGTTCACCTGGACTCATAGTTTTAAAACGCGTCTAATAAGGATTATAAGGCAACTTTTGTTCCCCTCCCTAACCAATATGGGATCTTACAATCCACGCTAACAATTCTCACTTTCTATCCATGTGGTACGAGTTGTTACAAACTCCCCCCCCCCCCCACACCTAAATTCCTGACGTCCTCGTCAGGCCTGTCAGAAAACTTCCTCTTTGTCATCGGGAATGTGGGATTCGCCTAAGATGTTACAAACACCCCCTCTCGAAGACTCATCCTACCCAATAAGGTTTGCCACACCATCCCGATGGTACAATGATCGACTCTAATACCATTTGTAACATCCCAAAGCCCAAAACAACGTATTGGCCCAACAAATTCAAATCCAACTTAAAAACCATGGTGAAAGTTATTGGTAACAGCCCACTACTTATGACTTATAAGAAAGCTAATAATTGTCACTTTCTATCCATGTGAGACGATTTGGTACAAACTCCCCCACTTAAACTTCTAACGTTCTCGTCATGCCTGCCCAGAATCTTACTCCTTGTCATCGACAATATATGATTCGCCTAAGATGTTAGAAACCCCCCATTTTGTGTTTTTTTTAGATTTTGATTCTAGGGTTTTTTTCTTTTTATTTTGAAAAAATCAAAGGAAGCATCCAATTGAACCCTAATTTCATCCTTTTCATCACAAACATTGCGAATCCATGGTTTTTGGATCTTGGTTGCAGAGAAAGATTAAGGGAAGGTTGGAACAATGTGACCTGCACAACCTGGTGTAATTGGAGGGAAGAAGGAAGAGGATGCCGACGATGCTCATAGCAAAAGGAGAGGGTAGAGGCGAGGAGATGGATGGTGGAGATGGCCGTTGAATGGTGGTGAAGATGGCCATTTTTCGACCACCCCTTTTACCCTCACTAGAGTCCCCCCATCTCCAAAACTTCTCACCGACCTAAACCATTCTACCCTCATCTAGGTTCTAACCTGTTCACAAACATGGATCGCTTTTACGTCGATGTTCTGGGTTCACCATTGTTGTAACAGAAGCTTTTGAAAATGGATTTTGGTTCAGAATATAAATAGAGCTTAATTTGGGTTTGATTTTGGGGTTTGCATTCACATTGGGGAGAGTTTGGAGAGCGAGCATCATAAGCAAAAACTGGAAGCAAGCAGTAATCGAACGATGATGAAACTGGAAGCATCATAGAGGTATTTTTGTCATTTACACAATTTTGGATGGAATGAATTTCAATTCCATCAGTTTCAGGAAGGAATAGTGAAATTCTCAAATGAGGGAATGTTTGGAATTCAATTCCATTCCATGGTTAACCGAACTTTGGAACGGAAATTGGTCAACGGAATTGACCATTCTAATTCCAGTAAATTCCAACGGATTCCGACGAACCAAACTCCCCTAAGGGTTTCTTTAGTTTGTTGTTTAGTCAAATAATGTCATGTTTTAAGGACAAATTTGTTTTGAAATTCCACGTTTTATCAAACGTGGTGAATCTTTTCTATTTTGAGTTTTTGTAGTTTTTACTGATTTCTTCATAAAAAGCCAGTAGTTTGGTTTGCATTTGAATAACATAGAAGCTTTTGAGACTTCAAGTAGTATGAGTTCTAACAAAGGGTGAATTATCTGCATTATGTACTGTGAGGATGAAGGGAAACCTTTAATAACCTCAATTGTCATATTCTTTTTCTTATTACATTATTGTCACATCAACAAAATAAGAATCTTAATGAAACTCCACAATGTATGATTTTTATAAATATATCTATTTCACGGTAGTAGTTCTTGTAAAAATCCCAAAAAACCCTCAACAGAACCTCCATCACCACCATCATCTCCGACCACCTCGGCCTCTGCCATAATCATCACCTCCTCCCCCACTATCACCAGTAACCACCATACAAAATAATTACACAACGTCTAGGTAATTTGTCCGACCTGATACGGTTTAATCTTAGTCGTACCAAATACCGCATCCAGTCCATTACTGTTATTTTGTCTAGTCCAGTTTTATCCTATTAATTTAAGTGGTGTTTGGGATTGTTTATTTGAAACAACTTATGATTTTTTACAAAGGGCAAAATGCACAAAATAGCAATCTACTTTCATAATTTTTTTTATTATAGCATTGTACTTTCAGTTTTTCTTATTATAACAATGTACTTTCAAACTATTTTTTAATAGGACATTGTACTTTGAAAAATTTACCCATTATAGCATTGGGTAACATTTTGATTTAAATTTACCTATTATACTAGGTTTCTATGCCACCTCATTGTCCACGTAGGCTATCCACATGTACTATAGTGATGTGACTTTCTTACTACATTATTGTACTTTCAATATTATTTTATTATAGCATCTACTAGTTCTTATTAAACACTATATTTTTAATTTTAATATTTAGATATTTTACATGTTATTTAATAAATGTATTATCTGAATTAAAAAAAATTATGAATTATTCATTAATATACCAATATCAATAAAACTAGTAGAACACAACTTATCTCGCTAATATTTTTTAAAAAAAATATGTTTAAAAAAAAGGAAAATAAGAACTGATTCTTTTTTACCAAAAAATATTATCTTTTAAAAAATATATTATATTTGTTCAAAAACTTTTTACTTGACGTATAAATATATTAAATTAATTAGATTTTTTTGAATTATTTATTAATAAAAAAATATTAAAAAATTGTAGATAACAATTTATTTCGTTAATATTTTAAAGAGAATTTTAAAAGATATGTTTTTATTTGAACAATATAAAATAAGAAAATTTACCTTTTTTACAAACAAAATATATCTCGAAAATAATGTTTCATATTTATTTAATAAATATTTTACTCTAAGAATATTTAATTTGAATGTAACTTAATAAGAAAAAATAAAAAAATTTAAATGTTTTTTAGATAGTAGCAATGAAAAATGAAAATCACTAATAATAATTTGAAATAGGTTTTTATTTTAATTTTAGTTAAGTAATTAAAATGATGTGTCATCCACATCACCTCATTAAAGCCACACAAGCAAAAAAGTCAAAGGATTAACCGGTTTAAGAGGTAACAGGTTACCCATTGCTATTATGGGTAGATTTTTTAAAGTATAATGCCTTAATAAAAAATAATTTGAAAGTATATTGCTGTAATAAAGAAAAACAAAAGTAGAATGCTATAATAAGAAATTTGATGAAAGTAGGTTGCTATTTCATGCATTTAACCTTTTTACAAAAGTCCTATAAACTTATTATAAGTTAGAATGATTTAATTTCTTCAAAAACTATTTATTACCGGTTTGGCAATATGTTGTTTTTATAAGTAATCCCAAAATACCCCCTTCTGCAATTCAAATCTAAATGCAATACACTCTTCTGAAGTTGGCGCCAAGATCCCCATTCCCGCCACGAATCTACACAAAACTCCATCTGGAAACTGAAATGGTGAACCTGCAAAAACTGAAAATGGGGAAGTCGAAGAGAGATGAGAAACAGTACTGGCTGCTAAAAACTGAGCCAGGGGAATGGTCATGGGAAGACCAAGCATCAAACGGAGGTCTCTCCAAATGGGATGGCGTCAAGAACCACCAAGCCCTAAAAAATCTCAAGTCCGCTCGCATGCATGACAGCTGCTTCTTCTACCATTCTGGGACCAAATCCCGCCGTGTAGTCGGAGTTGTCACCGTTGTCCGTGAGTGGTACGAAGACGACGTCACTGGCGGTGGTGGGGCTGTAGACGTGAAGGCGGTGGGGGAGATGAGGAGGCCAGTGGATTTGAAGGAGATGAAGGGAGAACTGAAGAACAATAAGGAATTTGGGTTGTTTAGGCAGCCTAGATTGTCGGTTGTTAGGGTTCCGGCAGATGTTTGGCACAAGATTTGCGAGTTGGGTAATGGGTATGAAGGTGATGGTGTTTGTGTATCCGAAGATGATGAACAGGTATAAGGAAGTTTGGAATCTGATTGTGTCTGTTTTCATGGATTCTAGGGTTCTTTAGACGGTGATGGATAGCTGCGGATTTTTGATCACCAGGTGTTTGATATTTTGCTTCAGTGAATATACTAGGCCTTTTGCGAAAATTTATTTTGGATAATATTATTTTATAAAGTTCAAAATGCAACTAAGGGGTTGCTTGTTTACTTCTTAATAATTTCATTAAGATACAACATTTAAATCATCAAGAGATAAATATTGTTTGACAATTTGGTTCTAAAATCATCTGAAAGTTTAACAAAATTTTAATTTTTCTATGTCATATAGATTTTAATTGGTAATTAGTAAATCTAATGTCAATTATGCTATAGTTCTTGATTATATATATCAAAATTTTAGATCAAAATCAACAATGTCAGTTAAGGTGAAAATTAGTTTATTATTAGGTAAAGGAAAAATTGCATCAAAATGGAACCAACTTTTACCTGATTATTTTTTGGGGAACCAACTTTCAAAATCGTTATTTTTGGGAACCAACTTGCACCTGATTCCTATTTTGGGGAACCAACTTTCAAAATCGTCATTTTGAGGAAACCAACTTGCACCTGATTCCTATTTTGGGGAACCAACTTGCAAAATAATTATAGAAAAATAACTAAAATTCGTTTTTTTCCAAAAATTAATGCAATAAAATCTATTTTTTATTTTAAATCTCGTTTTTTTAATTCAAATATCAAATTGAACATTTAAAAAAATTTAAATTACCACAATAAAAATTGTTTTTTACTAATGCAAAAAAAATCAATTTAATAGAAAAAAATTAATAGATACGGATTGGTTAGATATAAAAATCTTGAATGTGATATTTAATATTTATTTTTTATTGCATCAATTAATTTTTTTTCTATTAAATTGATTTTTTTTGTATTAGTAAAAAACAATTTTTATTGTGGTAATTTGGATTTTTTTTAAATGTTCAATTTGATATCCGAATTAAAAAAAAAAACGAGATTTGAAATGAAAAATGGATTTTATTGCATTAATTTTTGGAAAAAAACGAATTTTATTTTTTTCTATAATTATTTTGCAAATTGGTTTCCCAAAATAAAAATCAGTGCAAGTTGATTCCTCAAAATGATGCTTTTGAAAGTTGGTTTCCCTTAGGTAAAATGTATAAAAATGAATTAAAACAAAATTGATTATATTTGGGAAAAATTGTTTGGTATTAAACATATTAAATATTTGATGACGTAATGAATATTAAAATAGAGATTGATAAAAGACATGTAACTTCTTTTGAAAATTCGAAATCATAAAACCTCATGCATAAACACGTAATAATACAAGTAACATTTTTGATCCATCATCACTAAATCAAATGGTATTGGCAAAACTGAGACCTCATCACTGTCTCCACAGAATTTTGTTCTACAAAATGGCAGATGTCAAATACAAAACGCAACCAACCACTTACATATCCAATTTCTGCATCACCTCCATCGAACCAGTACCGACTTTAACCGGCAAACCGAGGCAGATCCTAGCCGTTGGTGTCTCCAAGTTATCCTTCAACCCATGAGTTGCAGCTTCGACGATAAACTTGGATGCAGTCTCAAATGACATCTTAAGAAAAGGAGATATCGATTCCGATATGCTGCCAAATCTACTCATGGGCCTGTACCCACCAGAATGAGTCATGTGATCGGCGATAAGGCTCAAGTGCCTATAATCAATCTCGACACCATAACTCCCAAAGACGTTCTTCATTTCCAATATGATGCTGGTTCTGGCAGCTTCTACTCCATAAGTGTTGAGCATGGTGTATATGTTGTTGGAATAAACATGGTCAACATCGAGGTCTTCTTCCATATCCCAAAATGCAGGAAGTTCTACTCCAGAAGCCTGCAATGCACACGGTAAACACCCTTCGTCCTCTTTCTTCTTATTTTCCGAGTTCTTCATTTTTTCTTTAAGTTTGTTGAGTTCTGGGTGGTTTTGATTCCAACAGACTTGTTTTACGTTTACACTGTATTTGACCGGTTGGCATTGGTCAAGTTTTCCAGAGCCCTTGACGTAAACTTTCTTTGCAGCCTTCTGCGCAACCTGCAAAAAACACCAATTTGGATTTAAGAAAACTAGGTTAAGCAGAGGCAACAATAGTAGTTATAGAACTTTGAAGGTACCTCTGCCAGCAGAATTTCTGGTTCATTTGTAAACCTGAAATGGACTTCAAGATTCAAATTCTTAACTTCCACAAATATTGCCCTGTCGAATTTTCTCTCCACAAATTCCTCAGATTTAGGGTTTGCTTTATCCGCATCTTTTTCTTCTTCTTTTTCTTGTTCCTCTGCTGGGCGTTCTCCGTCTGTTTCATCATCAGTTCCGATTCCAGTACCAGCATTGGCCTGATCAGCTTCACTCTCAAGTTCTGAGGGTGCCTCCTCCTCTTCAGAACCATCCTCGTAATCCACTGAATCTGTAGCTTGACGTTTCCTTTTATTGAACTCTGCACCAAGATCCTCGGCTGTTTCATCTATGTCATCATCATCATCATCATCGCCCCCATCATCTTCATCTGCTTTATCCACAACAGCATCATCATCATCTTCCTCTGCCTCACTTGAACGCTCCGCTTTTGAGCTCTTAACACTTTTGATTCCATTAATTCGGGATAGCAAAGCAACATGTCTTTCAATTGCATCCTCTAATGCCCTTAGAAAAACATTTCTGAGGGTTTGCTGACAATTCTTTAGTGATACATGTTTCGGTTGTTTGAGCTTCACCATAAGCTTATATATTCTGCAGGGTCGATTGTTGTGAATTACAAGTGGCAATTTTGAGACTTCAATACTCTGCATAAGTTCTGCAACTGTCAGCTTCTTTACTTTTTCCACAAGTCTCTCAGCATCTTCCCTGCAATTGTTTCACAAATCCATATAATGACAAGCATAATAAAGAAGTGAAAAGTCAAATGAAATCAACACGATATAAACCACAGTATTCTGAGATCCAAGTGGGATACATGGGGGTTGCAAGACATCATACGAGATGAGTCTTTTGATGAGAAATATGAACAAAAAACTTTAAAAAACTCGTGTTTTCTGAATAATGAAGACAACAAGAATTTATGCGAACTCCCATAGTTGGGCGTCTACAAATCAATATAAATTTTTGCAAACTGTGATATTTGAATATCTACAACTCAAATGGAGATAATGTTAAAAAGCTCTCAAGATTTTATTCAATGCACCAAATAGAAGAAAAATTCTGCTATTCACCAACTTGATAATATCATATCAGCATCTCATTACAAGAACGGTCCTAGCCACATAAGTTGAAATGCATTTTTGTAGTTTTGACAGGAAGATATCATCCAAAATATCTATAACAGGGAAATTAACTTTTGTTAATGATCAGATTCATTAAGCTATTTTCACTCTCCTCCTTTTGCCTTGACAATTTCACTGCATCACTTAGGATTTACCTCCAAGTGATGCATATCTTCCCCGCAGAGATTAATTGATTGCAACAGAGGTTATATCAATCTTTAATCTTAATATAAATTTTGTTTTGAGTAGGAAAAATACTGCAGTGATGATCATCTCCTTTCTTCTCAATGGTTTCTAGGCGTATAGAAACTTGGTAAGAAAATGGATAGGAAATGACTCACATTGATCTGCCTTCTAGCAGGGGGCATGTTATGATGGGAGTCTTTATGTTAGCTGCAGCCGTCATTAAGATCTCTTGCAAACGTGGAATACCGAGGGTAACATTCATCTCACCACGTCCAGCAAGATGAAAAGTGTTGAGCCTGCAAAAGAAGGGCAAGTAGAGTTCAAAAGGAAGCAAGAAAGTTGACATGATTACAGAAAAAACTGTCAACAAAACATTAAATGAGCAGCAAAGGCCAGAAGCAACATAGCAACTGAAGAAGAGATATACAAGAAAAATAGAATAATAGCAGATTGGTTTACTGTGGGAACTTTAGGGTCCATTTCACTGTTGGTCCAATTTCCATGATGTGGTGATATATGGAGATAGGATCCTTGAAAATAGATACGAGAAATGGGATAAACAAGAGGACCATAATTTTTACATGAATAAATGAGCTAAAACATTGTGTTGGTGGTGCATGCACAAGTTCCTATGAACAGGACCAATATAAACCTGCAAAATTACACATTTCAAACAATGGAGACCTTCAAACAGCAGCATAGCGTATCAAAGCTCCAGAGGAAAGAGACCATCTCGGCATACAAAGATGATTATACATATATGTATGCACATACAAATGTACACATAGTTATATACAGATATATTTATGCATCTATGTGTGTGTTTATATATACATACACACACACACACACACACATATATATATATATATATTCTGTTGGATATAGTATATATTAGCCAAATACATTTGTCAATTTTGTTCTCTACATTAAATACAAAAGCCTTGTACTTCTTATTTAATGAATGAACCATGGCGATACTTTCTTAAAATATGTAGTGCACCCTGTATGCTACCAACATCCCTAAAGCATAGCATAGGTTTATTTACAGGGAAACTACCAAGATGTATCTGTGTTTGAATTTGCAGTAAATGATACTTGTGGTTGACTGGATTTCTGAGTCACCTATAAGTTCCACATATCAATTATTTCGTAACAAAAGAAGAGGCATGCAGAATCTTACGTCATTTGGGTCGATGGTTCACCAACCGATTGACCAGCAATCACACCAACTGGCTCTCCTGGCTGGGCAAGACTGGAGAGATACTTTTGTCTTAGAAGCATCAACAAATCATCTCGGTTCTCCTTCTTAACCTTCTGTCTGGAACTTTGAACTTTATCTTCAAGGCCTTTCGGCAACTCTCGAATATACCAATTGAATTCAAGTGGCTCACTTAATTTTTKGCATACTATTTCTCGATTCTTATCACAGAATAAAAAGGGAATATTAGTTTGTGTCCAAAACAAACAGCTCAAAGATATTAGTATTTAAAGGAAGCAAATAGGAAAGAAAAATCTCACAGCTCTCAGCACTTCAACATTGTTAAGAAAGCTAGTTTGATGCACATCCACCCCATCTTCACCATAACAAAATTGAACAATGGAGCCATCAGCATCACGAACTGTGTAATCATAGGAGACTTTCAGGCTCTCAAGATTCTTTATAAGGCACCTCTGTAGATATCCACTGCGTGAGGTTTTGACTGCCGTATCAACCAACCTACAAGGAAGATATATATACTAATTAGAAGAACTAGCTGTATGTATAGGGTTTAATGTGGAGAAAAGTGACAACCATAATCCAAGAATTGGAAAAAACACAATTGTGTAGGGCATCCACACACTACAAAAAAGTTTAATGGATGAGCATATTTGTTTCATGGCAACAGGGAATACATCCTTAGAAAATGGAAGAGAGATGGTTTAAACCATGAAATCATTTACGTAGTAGATAAACATGAAAAAACAACGAAAGAGCAAAGTTGACCACCCTCATAATCAGAAAGAAAAAAAAAGGTCAAGCTCATGAGCTGATCACCCTGTTTTGTGTGTAGTTCAAAGGGTTTCACAGCATCTACACTGCCAAAGCTTTTAGTTTTGGACCATTATCAGAAGACACTTGCTTCTCCCTCAGTTATCTTCAACCCAGCTACATTAACAAGCCAGGTACTGATTTCTCTGCTCATCCACTTTCTCAAGTGTAAAATAAAACCATGAAACATAGAGATCTACACGTGGAGGCATCTTGTATGGCAAACCTTTGTACAGCTAGAATTTTAATTAACAAATATATGATGCAAAACAAATTTCAATTTTATTTACCAGAAAACAAAGACAAAAGATGCAAAGGAGAAAAAAATCACTAAATGGGGCAAACCTAAGAGGTATTAACAATTTGAGAAATACCAACTTACCCTTCCCGGCCAGCCATGCAGTGGAAATAATACTCTTGTGGGCGAAGACCAGTTAAAAAACGATCGATAATATAACCACCAGCCCTAGAAGTGAAATCCCAAGGCGAAAAGCTAGGTAAAGTCTTCCCTGAAACCATTCGAGGCACTCTTTTGCCTTCCAACTCTTGTTGACCAAGTAGAAAGGATATTTGTTGAAAGTTGACCTGTTTGTTTGTTGAAAAATTAGAGCATACAAAACATAATGTTGAAAAAGAAACAAAGTGTTTAAAGTTAAAGCTTCCATAATGTTAAATGGAAGTCATTAAGTTGAATAAGAAACACAAATGGACAAAACTGACCGACAGCACGAGCCAATAATTGCATAAATCAAAGCATGCTACTCTAATAAGAATTGTGCTATATAATCGCATACTAAGCACTCATGCACTTCCACTTAAGGTTAGTAATAATCACCAAATATTAAACAAAGATTTCTTCCAACTTACCGAACTACCTTTAGCACCACTAATTGTCATAAGGGAAACACAGTTCTGAGGAAAAGGTTTTAACAATCCTTTTGGCAACCATTTTTTGCTAATCATAGAACCTTTATCCCTCAGTTCTGTCTGCATGAGATTATCCAAGCTTGCGGTGGCTGTCACACCGTTGCTTCGTATTATTTTCTCAGTTTCCAGTTGCAGCTCTCTTGTGCCTACCAATGAAATGAGGAACACATCAAAATCAGCTTCTTGATGAAATAGAAAAAAGAAACTAGGTAAGAAAATAGTTAAATCATATTTCCCAGATAAAAACTTTATTACCAAAAGACTTGTAATTGAAAAGTCGATGATGGGTTATCTTTTTCAATTCTCATAACAACTCAACAGTTGCGTTCAAACAATGAGAATCATGCACTTAAATAGATCCAAAATGATAAAATGAACGCAAGAAAGCAGTGATAGTCAGCACAGCTCTTGGTTAGATGTAACCTACACAACATGATAGGCTGTTTCGACATCCTGAGCTGCTAGCTTTTAAGTCATTATTTAGCTATATATACTCTGGGGAATCGTCCCATCTACTTTCAGAAATAATTAAGTCACCTTCTGATACATACCAGTTCTTTGGTTCTCCAAGTTGACAAATTTGCGATGAACCTTTTCACCTACATCTTCACCTTCAAGTTCCAACTTCATTTCTTTGTCGCAATCTGGCGACACCATGAGGTCGTCTAAACCACAAGTAAATCCATGGAACTGAAGAATGATTGTTCCATAAGATTATTAACAATCGAGAATGTATACGACAGGTTAACATCATGCAAACACCTTTAAAAAACATGAGGCAGAGACTGACATGTTAAAAAAAGACGTGGAGGAAAGTGATGCAAGTGCCAAATATGACACTAACCTGTAGAAAATTAGTGAATAATCGACTAAAAGCTCCAAGCAGAAGTCCTGCAACGTCAGATCCGTATAGCTCTTGCACAGTATGAACCAAACCATACTTGCCAAACTGAGCTTTGTCTATAACACCACACACAAGCTCATTCTTCCAAATCAACAACCTGGTTTCATCAACCTCTTTTAGGTCAACTTTCTGAGCCTCTCTTTCAGATTCTGCATGTTCTTTCTTTCGACGTTTATTGGTTTTGCTTTTATCCTGTTTGGCCTCCTTTCCTAGGAAATACTGCTCTGGGATCTTCACCTTGTTATCAACAATACAAGGTGTATAACCTCTAGTCAAATGATTTAATATTGCTGTTATGACCTACAAACACAAACAAAAAAAATAAGAAATTCATGTATCATTCATAGAATAGAAACTTGATTTTACTGATAGCAGATTATTTACATATGTTTCAAAGAGAATAAACAAATAATACAATATTTACGACCTGCTTCCCAGTCCAAAGAGGCTTCGGCTTCCACACTGCTGGAAGTACATGCTCCACAAAGCACCCTTTATCAGCTATAGAAATTTTACCACGTCGTGAACTTCCCCCAGCAAACACGCCAGAAGCATACAGAAGTTGATGGAACATTTCACGGCTTAAGAATGTATCCTTCATTGTGAGAAGTACAGAACTAACTATATGATCCTGCATGACCAAATGTTTAACATGGAACAAATCATAAGACTATCTAATGAACATGGTGATTATGTAAAATGATGGCAAACACTTGAAACACATATTGTACTATATTTTTTCAGCAAGTGGCACTTACTATCATGATTCTATTCCGTGATACCTTCAATCAATTAAACCCATTCAATTGAATATTATAATATCAAAAGAAACAATTACATAATTAGAAAATAGCAAAGTCAGGTGAAAACTTCTGCTATGCCATCTATTAATAGTAAGAAGATAAAGTAACAAAAAAATCTGTAAAGAACAGTGGGAGTTTGAAGGGAACTATAAAAAAGCAAAAATCAAAGAAAAGACCCCCAAAAACTGGATTGCCCATACCTCCGAAAACCAAAAGATGATACCCCTAAGACTTCCAATGCAGAAACAAAAACAACACAATGATCTCATAGAAGAGACATGAAGAATATAAAAATGATGTGTACCATGGCAAAGAACTGTTAAACCTCAACTGAAAGAACCTTTGTCTGCAAATAAACATAATGTCTAAGTTGAAGGGCAAATCAAAGTTCATCGGCAACAACAAACATCATTTGCAAAATCGAAAAGCAAACACTAGCATACTAGCAAGGGTCATACCATCAATAAAAATGCCGGCATATAAGATTTCAACGAAAGAGCAGGCTGCCATCAGGCATATTTGCTAGCTTTGGAACAATTGTGTAGTAGATATAAAACAATATTCTCTTAATTGGAACATTAACTGTCCTATGAAAAAGAGGATCTACTAAGCCAAGTAAGATGCAAAAGCAACAGAATAAACACAGGACTGGAAAAACAGATTTTACACCCATTTGACAAGAACAAGGTAACTGAAGAAAGTAAATCAATAAATCCAATCAACAATCCAGTGTGAAAATGCTTACAGCATCTACCAATTCCCTATCAAAACCCCTAAAGTTGCACTTCAGGTACTAAGTTTTAGTCTACCTCAAATCATATCCTTCAACTGCAAGGCTTTCTCAATACCTCATTTTTGGATTAACTGCATACCCAGCCTCGTCGACAAACATGGTATATCGTCCGGTCTGGTACTGGTAGCATCATCGTAAGTCCAAGCAATACTAAAAGAAGATAAATAGGGACTTGATGTTGACCCTAGGTGTACTCCCACGGTAATAAGGGAAACATGTCTCACTACCAAAATGTTTTCATGCAGGTCATGAATCCCTTCATCTATATTACTAAGAACATCCACTTACATAAATCATACTTTTGGTATCATCCACATGTTCTACCCTTGGGGTAGAGGAATGGTTTGCATATAGTTTACCCTCCCCAACCCTACTCCGTGTGAGATCTATTGGTTCACTTGGTTTGTTCTGGTTTACACACACAAACACACTAATACTAAACAAAGTCCAAGTCATAAACCAAAATCTCAAAACTAGCTCACTCACCAATTAGAGGTTCCTAAGGGTGCTCTTGGTTAGATCGTTGGATAGTCTTGCTTCTTAGGGGTACTAAGAAAGTTTCATGATAAGAAGCAACCGAGCAACCATGAACGAGAACTCGGAAAATGATCTTGAGGATGGATACCAACTAAAAGAAGTGGATGTACTTATACTCCATATTGTCACTCATCCTATAAGCAGACCATAAGTTTGTAACAAGATATCTAACTATTCTCAACACATTGGACATCAATTAAATTTGGCTAGCCACCTCAATTCTAGAAACTACCCTAGTCTCTGAAAGGGTCAATTTTTTGAAGAAAGGGTCAACCACAAAAGCAAACAACAGTAGTAGAAAGGATCAATTTTTATAAGCCTCTGAAAACTTCAAACCATCGAAGATAAGCGAAGAAAAAGATATTTATATGCACCTTCTACCTACGAGCACGGTAGCATATAGTTTCAGTAAGAATACCTTTACAATTGACTGTTCTGCTGCTAAGTTGCAGATACTGCAATTGATATTATAAAAACAAAATACTTGAGACTTGATTGCTTTACGTTAATAAATTAAGCCAAATTATGTTATTCAATACCTCAGATAAATGCAGAAACAACATACTGTTTCTCGTCCCAATCATGGAAGTAAGATTTTCAGTACTGAACAAACATATGAAATGTCATCACTGTTGAGCTGATATATATGAACTGCTACATCACAGTTCATCCGTAAGCCAATCATTGTTCCACATTTAACTTTATCCATATGATAGACAAGCCAAACATGATGAATTCATATAATTGCTAAGTGTAAATAGATTTGAGATGTTATAACCTGAATTAAGCCTCTAACAGTATCTCCCCTTGTTGGAACTATATACTGATTGTTTGCATTCACAATGTTGTAGGCTTCTGCACGAGAGATCTCATCTTGCGGCAAATGAACATTCATTTCGTCTCCGTCAAAATCCGCATTGTAGGAACTGTATTAAAATTGACAAAAGAATCAAGCAAGGGATGAAACCTACAAATAATAAATAGCCATGAACACTGCAGAGCATATAATGATCTCAAGGGGATAGCCTAGTGATAAGGCATCGTAAAGTCTTGTGCCCTCATCCCCATTGTAATAAAATAATGAAAATATAATGATGGAAATGCATCAACAATACCAACCTGCAATTTGCATAATGCATTCGAAGAGTTTTCTCTCCTTTCAGTACTCGAACTACATGTGCCATTATGCTGGGCTTGTGAAGTGTGGGCTGCAATATAAGTTATTTAATAAGCTAACATAAGGAAAGGACGAAGAGAGAGAGAGAGAGAGAGAAGAATTTGAGTATTTTAAGCATACGGAGTTCTAAAACCTTTTTGTACAGTCATTTAACATGAATTTTCTGACAAGCAACAATTGAATTGTTTCCATCTATTTAAACCATCACCAGACAGAATACAACAATTGAAAACTCATAAATGACAGGAAAAAAAAGGTAGCTCCTGGTGTATCAACTCCACTTTCCTCTATTTGAAAAGAACTAGGCCAAAACACAGCATATTCCTCAAAACAACTACAACAAGACCATACAGATGAAAGAATGCAGCACCTGCCGGTTCACAAGAACAATATCTCCATCCTGCAAGTGCCGATACACAACTTTACCCTCAAATTCGTAGTTACAGCCATTTTTGGATTGTATGGCCACGCCTCTAGAAGATGGTAACTTTCGGGATACTGAAATACGCTTATATTTGTCTCGGAGTAGCCTGACAGTTGACACCTTATCAGCAAAATGGGTCGCTCCCGGATGGACATCCGAACCATTAATGATAGCCTCCCTCAGTTTTGCAACATTCCAAGGAGTCACTCTCTGCAGAAATGTAATTCAAGATATATGAAATGTATAAATGTGACGGCTAAGAACAGGCTTCAAAGTCTTATATTGATGCATAAAATTGATTGTAGCAAACAATTGTCTTAAACACACAGCTAAGGCATCCTATACACCTCTGACTAACGAATATTGCATGAGTTGCATACATGTTGAAAATCTGTATCACTTTGTAGTTGGCTTCCTTGAATATATTTATATGTTGACATAAGGCTAGGTATGTCAAGACCAACTTCATAAATATGATCTCCTATCTCCTATGAATAGACTTCTATATAAGATAGCAGGAAGTGGAAGACACGTGCATGCACATAAGCACAAAACAGCCGCCCCCCCATCTACATGTCAGCAGAACAATGGAAACGTACAACACATTGCAACTGTCAGGGTGGGGAAGCGCACTAATGCAATGAAAATAGCACTGCAAATTTGATGAAAGGGACAAGACTTTAGTAAGAGAATGGATGGATTCCCCCCCCCCCTCTTCTGTAGAGAGAGAGAGAGAGGAATTTGAAACTAGGGATACTAGCGTCTTTTTTGTAAAACAATTTTATTAATGAATCACAAAGATGCAATCATGAGCGTCTCCAGTAACATCGTTTAAACATTTGTAGACCATTGTTCCAAGAATACAATTCAGGATCTATAGCGAATATGTATTAAATATTATGTGCATGAGTAAAGATACCTCCGGGTAAGTCAATCTCAAGGCAAAATAAGGAGGAACTCCGATCTCATTAACTGCTAGATAAGGGTCAGGTGAAATGACGGACCGGCATGCAAAGTTAACTCTCTTTCCCATCATTTTCTGGCGAAAGATTCCCTCTTTCTTCTCAAGCAACTGGCATATCCCAGTATTTGCATTTTTCAGATTTTGACCTTCAATCAAGTACAAAAAAGAAGATGCAATTTAGTTAATATATCAATAAGCAAAGCAAAAACATAAACATCACCTTAAATGTTGTATGCATTCCCTACAAACTAAAATTTTGTTACAAGATCAACCATATCTCGTCCAATATACAAGTGATGTGCTTATAAGTGAGACAAAAAGCAGTAGCAGGTGTAAAATTCTCAGATTAGATCTTAAGAGAAATATAAATTACAAGATGACCTAAACAGTAAACATGCAAGTCGTTGATGATCACAAAGGGATGCACAATCCGCACAACTTCAAGAGACATCTATTTCAGTGTGTTACAACCCAACAACAGACTTCTGCAGCCTGTTTTCCCTTTCCTTGAATTCATGTCATTATTTTTATGAAGAGATCAAAATTACAGACGACATTAATAATGAAAAAACATGACCACCATCTTGCCAGGTAGAGGAAACATGGAAATAGCCCACTTCAATATTGTGATAGTGAGCAAAGCTAAGCTATTAAAGATTGTGCTTGTTGTCTGCTTGAGAAAACGGGTTTCTACGTAATAGCGCATAATCATTTTACAGGTATACATAGCTTGTTCGATTATTACATTCCCACAGTTGGAGTTTCTTACAGATCTCCAAAAGAGTACAATTCTACCTCTTGATTTTACCAGAGAACTTCATCATCTGTTTCTGTGTGTGCATGGATGTAAATAAATATCAATATGAACATATGGATGTAATATCATGATAGTCATGAACATGCAATAGTTATGCATGGACATGGATACATACATATGAGAGAACATCACAATCCTTAATGCAGAAAATAACTCACTTGTGGCAGTCTTGCTGTCGAATAGAACATTCACAGACTGCTGTAAGTCCCTCCAGCGATCAGCAATCTTTGATCCTTCAAGTTTGTTGATATGAGCATTTCCCAACGCTATATTGGACTGTACCACCTTGCCTAGTAACACCGTCTGTGGATTCTCCATAACCTGTAAGTCCACAATAACATTATCAAGTGCCCCGAATAGAGATATGAGAATTAAAATAAAAACTAGAAAGAACATTATGACTAGGTAATGATAACACAAGAAGAAACAGCACCAATACAAGGGGTCACCAGATGTGAACGAGCAACTCAACTCTTCCTATTCACCCTAACGGCGAAGTAAATAACTTCTACCAATCATAAACATTAAGAATTTAAAAAAAAAAACTAGAGATAGAACAATGTTCAACACCTAAAGATTTTTCATTAGTAATCAAGTTGGGAAGAGAAGGCATCATGTGAGTTCACTTCAAGATCTCAAAGCACAAGTCAAAATCATCCATTGATGTAGATAGAAAATAATCTTGTTCTCATTGAAAAACTAGTTCTAAATTCAAAAGGTTGCAAGTTTTCTAAGAGAAAAAATCCAAAAAAGAAAACAGATAGATTAGTCTTTCCAATTGAATGAACCCCATCATCGAATCATGGTGACTAAGAAATCCAGTGACCCCAGAAAGTATCATGCAAATTTACAAAATTGGAAGTAGCATACTTACAGAATCACCCGCCACGGCAGCAGGACGAAATTTTGTAGGGGGTACAAGCAAGGCCTCTAAAAAGAACATGGAGTAACTAGTACTTTTGGAAGATCTAGTTAACCGCTCCTGCTGGATATCGCATATATATGAACAAAGATCCGCCTCGTTTTCCCACAATTCCTTGATTATATTTATCACCTGAAATTATATTGACTAAGAAATTAGTATAGCATAGAAGATCTTGATGGTAGATTACTATGCCAATCTCACTTTTATAGGCCGAGTGAAAGTGCAAAACAAGTATCTTAGTCTATACCCTAGATGGTAAAAGAGAGCCTGAATAGTTGTTTTTCAGCTCTTTGAAGTCAGTGGACACTTTGGAACTTTTCTTCTTTACATTTCTTCTGTTAGATGAGGTGGCTGAAAATGAATTGGTTCCAGCAGTATCAGCTCTGTCATCTTCTGATTGTTCATTAACATTTATCACCTCTGAAGTCTTGTCCTCTTCGCCACCTTGCAGCTCTTCCTCGTATCGAATACCTCCTAACTGATAACCTCTTATATAGTTCTTTTCTGCATCAGCAACAGTCATGTCCTATACACATTCATTTATATGACGGTTAGCAGCTACAATATACAAAACTTTCACCATGTACACCACCTTATATTACTCTCTTACTTTAGAGATGCAAGAAAAATGTTAATATGCTAGAGCAAGTCGTTTCCATATAACATTCCACGTGTATGCCAGCATAAGACATAAAGCAAATTATCAGAACTATAACAATGACGGACATAAAAAACAGTAATAGCTGGTCCCATATTACCTTCCGTGGCAATAAAGAAAAGCAACAAGGTTCTATCAAAATGCTAATGTTGATACTCAAAAAGCCCTACAAATTAGGAAGGTGAACTTCGGAACATTATTAAGGCTACAAAATTGGCATTTACAACACACACATTGAAAACCAAAAATAAGTCATATACATCCTTGCACGTATAATGTACAACTACTTACAATACTACCCACCAAAGATTTTAAAAGAACGTATTAGCCAGTTGGCATTAAATTTCCCCTCTAGCAAGTGTCAATCTACAGCAATATGCATGCTCCTATCATTCTGAACTTGGTCGTACTAAGTTGACTTATCTCTATTTGAGTTTTTGATACATTCCTAATGTGCAACAATTATCTTTATTCTTTACATCATACCCTCCCCCAATCACCCAAACAAAAAATCAAGCCTGTGTGGTAGATTACAACCTAAGAGGCATGAACATAAAATACAACACCCGGGATGCATGACACACTTTCTAAAGAACAGGATATGGAGTGTTGTAGGATCCAGTAATTTCTGATCATACATGTGAATTGATTAAAGATGTATATAACGGTGTAGTGTTTACCATGAAAGCATACAATGGCAGGAATGATGTCTTCCTTGTTACTGTATAGTTAAACAAGGAATAGTAAGCCATCATCACCAATGAGCTCAGAAAGGACATACAAGGTGATGCACCATGTTGTATGCTTTTTGCACAAGCATGGTGTTGATTGATGAGATAAATAAAACAAAGTTAGAGGCATGGAAGAACAACTTGATATAAAATGAAAGATGCATAAGCATGTATGAGCAATAAGTAGTTAGGAGGAATCTCTTTCATTATTTCAGATTTGTATAAAAAATGAAATGAACAACAAGGATTAGAGCTGGGTTGAAAAAATGACAAGCTTTTTGAGTTTCAAGTAATGTGATATCCGCATCAAAGCTCAAAGAAATTTCTATAGGCCAACGACCATGCCACATATCAAGAAGAAACTAAGATGTTCTGAAACTATAGAGACGATGGAGTCAAACACCCTAAAGACAAGCTAAGATGGCAGCATTTTAGATGTTTGACTCACCTCCAATGTAGACCATTGTATGACTCGGTAAAAAGAGTAGACCCTTGTATGACTCAGTAAAAAGAGTAGACCCATAAAAAAAATGCAACTAAGAGAGAGAGAGATCAACCTAAGATTTGCATGCGAAGATAATAAAGAGAAATTTAAGAAAATGAACTAGACCAGAAAATCTTGGCCCTAAAAGAATTCACCTTTTTTATTTTACGTTGGGTTTTTACCTTTTTATAGTTCATATCAAATTTTACCCTATTTACAGTCCAAGTGTGTCTATGTATTCAATCAACTCGAAAGCAAAAAGAAAAATAAGTGCAATACAGTTCAAAAATCTCCGGTTTTGATTTCATTTTCTCAGCTTCACTTTTGCCTTCTTCATGTTATAATTTCTCTTTGTTTTCATGTTTCTCATAATTAGAGTTCTTTTTGGGGGGGAGTTTCAAATTTTAACCTCAAAATCGTTGCAGCTAATATGAATATTTTTTGTAGTTAATATTCATCCCTGCATACCAAAAATCAAAACGAAAATGTCTCTTTGTGAAAGAAAGATAAGCATTTATCATCATTTCCCAACCATGACATTCTCTCCAAAAGCCTTTTTAGGTAGGTTAAATAGGATCCAAAAAATCATCATTCAAAAAGAAAATGATGAATTAAAGACGAAAAATCAAAGAGAGTGGAAGAATGATGTAGCCATGATGAAATAAGCAAAAAAGAACATGCAGAAAAGGAAAAACTAACATCAATCTTATATAACTGGATATGAGTGTACTTGCCATCTTACAAAAGTGTTTTTGCTTCCTTATAAGCATTGGTAGTGAAAATACAAGAGTGAACTCCTTCCAAATCTCATTAAATAAGAATTCCGCACATTGAAAATAAGCAATAAAGGTCCCAAAGAATTCATTATGTTTACATATCAAATGACTTTACATCCCGCCTAATGATCTTATAGATCTTATAGGCACAAATCCTTTACCAGCAGTAGGTTAAGAGAGGCAACCATAAAGAAAGACCATTGACATGATAAAGAAAAACATTAATATCATTGATGAGCTGCTAATATCAAACGACAAATCATCAGGTAAATATAATGCGCAGTAACTTAAAAATATGCAACAGAAAGCAACAACAGAAAGATGTCAAACTAACCATTCGAAACGATCCAAATGTGGGCTTACTGATCTTCGGGTTTTTAGCTTCGCAGTATTTACAGGACTTGCTATCGTTAGCCAAAAATTCTTTCAAAACAGACTTTGCTTCTATATCCTGAATAGATGTCCAAAACTCCTGCTGTGTTTGTTCAGAGCTGTCACTTTGTGAACCAGAGAATAGTGTAGAGCTTGAGACATGGCTACCATCACTGTCCTCCAAATCAATATCTTTGCTATCCGAATTACTGACAAAATTTTTAGCCCCAGCAACATCACCCTTTGCTATCTTCTTTAGTTTAGAAGTGCAAATGTCAACCTAAAGAAAGAAGATATAGCCACAACACATAGGCAGATACGCCAAGTAAGATATCTATGCAACATCAAAACAATATGTTATAAAAATGAAGCATTAAACTAACCTCCTCTTTACCCACTCTAAAATGATGGCAAAAGAAGCAGGTCCTTCGTAATAGGTTGAAAAGCATATCAAAGAGCAAGGGATTGTATACTGGTGAAACAAGATCAATGTGCCCACAATGACCTGGGCAATCAAATGACTGCTGCCTACACGACTTACAGCTGCACATATAACAGTTTCTAGAATAAGCAAGCATATCCCATGTTACAACACTATATATCAGTATTGTTTCCAGGAGCTCGATTTGTTGTGCAATTGACATCTAAAAATCATTTGCACTACTAGCCTTCTACATCAATTGTCTAACATTAAGAAAATTAGGGTGAAAGCAAATCTCAAGTTACAATTACTATATCTCAGTATTGTTTCCAGGAGCTAGATTTTTTGTGCTAATGACATCTAGATGATCACTTGTACAACTGCATCCATTGTCTAACATCACAATTGAATACAAAACTAAGGTGAAAGTATCGTAGTGAATAAGCGATCCATTTGTGAGTATGTGCTCCAAACTACTTACTCAATAAAAGTCACAGAGCAGAAGGTGTATAAGGTCAAGTTGCCAATTATATTAAATTACCTCCCATTCCCCACCTCTAATTTTGGACCAAAAAGGAAGTGGATTGAAAGGTAAATTTCTTCCACCCAATCATCCATCCCTTCCTTTTTTTTCTCCAAAAAACAACTCAGTGATAGATGAAAACTTCATTCCTTGCCTCACTTTCTTCCCTTCCAAAAAACAAAATTCAAACATATCACTTTGAATAGAACAAGACTTACGGTGCCTTCTCGTCCATCGGGCCTAACAGAGGATCATACAATCCTCCTGGCATTGGTCTTCCAACACTGTCAAGTAAAATGGGATTTGTAATCTTTAAAACACTAAGCTTCCTGACCTCTTCATCAGTCATGAAACTGAATCTTACACCCTCCACAATCTCTGACGCGCCCTGCAATAATAATCATGTAATTAAAGCTACACATTTAAAAAAAAAATATGAAGCTTTTCATGTCTGTCTACCCATCAATTCCTTCAAACATGAAAATTAGGAACAAACCAACGACCTTCTAATTACATTAACATCAAGTATCAAACCTAATACCCTTCGACTATGAAATTAATACGGCTTCTAATTGCAAATTTCACACCAACTAGCCCACCTCATATTCAATTAAACAAAGTACACGTAATACACATGAATATACAACAATCCATATAAATGCTTGGTAATATAATAGAAAACTAGATACAACAACAAAAAAGAAAACATAATACTAAACAAAGCTTGTAATCAATAACAAAACCATCACCGGTCTACTATACCTCAGTAGTGGTCTGAGCCATCTTCTACACTTGAACTATCACCGGGGGGCAAAGGTGGCGGTAGGGCAATTCGCGGTGGCAGGCCAAGTAGTCCCAAAGAAAAGTGAAGCATAAACGGCGCCTTCGGTGGACGTCAGCAGTGCGCTGTAGTCTCTCTCGGCAGGGGCCAGAAGACACAAGTTTTCAAACTTATAATTGTGGATTGCGGAAGTACCACAATACCAACGAGAGGCTTTGGGCCTGTGGGCCTAATATCAGTTCCAATTTTGGGCTATCATTTAAATAATAGGGTGGACTTGCATTTTTCACTTTGGTTAAATGCATGAAATAATAACCTATTTTCATAAAAAAAATTATTATAGCATTTTATTTTTGTTTTTCTTTATTATAGTAATGTATTTTTAAATTATTTTTTATTAAGATATCGTATTTTAAAAAATCTACCCATAATAACAATGTGTAACCTGTTACCTTTTAAACAGGTTAACCCTTTGACTTTTTTTTGCTTATGTGGCTTTAATGAGGTGATGTGGATGACACGTCATTTTAACGACTTAATTAAAATAAAAATAAAAACTTATTTCAAATTATTATTAGTGATTTTTATTTTTCATTGCTCTAATCTAAAAAAATATTTATTTTTTTTTTTTTGACTTTTTCTTATTAAGTTACATACAAATTAAATATTCTAGACTAAAATATTTCTTAAATAAATATGAAACATTATTTTTGAGATATATTTTGTTTGTAAAAAAAGTAACACTTCTTATTTTATGTTGTTCAAATAAATACGTATCTTCTAAAGTTCTCTTTAAAATGTTAACGAAATAAATTGTGATCTACAGTTTTTTAATATTGTTATATTAATAAATAATTCAAAAAAAATAATTAATTTAATATATTTATACGTCAAGTAAAAGGTTTTGAACAAATATAATATATTGTTTAAAAGATAATATTTTTTGATAAAAAATAAACAATTTTTATTTTCTTTTTTCAAAAAACACATATTTTTTTAAAAATATTAGCAAGATAAGTTGTGTTTTACTAGTTTTAATGATATTGGTATATTAATGAATAATTTAGAATTTTTTTTAATTCATTTAATAAATTTATTAAATAACATGTAAAATATCTAAATATTAAATTAAAAATACAGTGTTTAATAAGAACTAGTAGTTGCTATAATAAAATAATTTTGAAAGTACAATGATGTGGTTAGAAAGTCACATCACTATAGTACATGTGGACAACCTACATGGACAATGAGGTGGCATGGAAACTTGATATAATAGGTAAATGTAAATCAAAAGGTTACCCAATGCTATAATGGGTAAATTTTTCAAAGTACAATGTCTTAATAAAAAATAGTTTGAAAGTACATTGTTGTAATAAGAAAAACTGAAAATACAATACTATAATAAAAAATTTATGAAAGTAGATTGTTATTTTGTGCATTTTACCATAATGGTAAAGCATTTTACTTCCAAATGGGTCGGCCCAGGACCAGCGGATGACCTGGACCGAGTTGGGAGTTGGGATCGGTTACGGTTTTCATCTTTGTCCGGGGCTGGTTATGGGTCTGATCCGTTTTTACAAAAATATTATTGTTTTCTTATTAATACCCAACGATCAAATGACCGTTTCGTTCTCATTTTTGACCTTTTTTCTCATTTACCCTCTATTCACTATATATAGTCATATAGTGTATGGGGGGAAGATATCAACTCACAAACGTCACAATCTTGCTATAATTCGTGATTTCGACTCGTATTCTTACAAAAACGTATTTTTTAAGTTACTTAATTGACCTAATTACATATTTTCAAGTGTATTAGAATAACACTTTTGTTTTTTTTAATTCAAAAAAGATTATGTAAAAAGTCAAATTCTTTGAAAAAAAAAACACATAGTACCGGTTTGGACCGGGACTAGTTCTCATAACCGGTTATAAAGTACCTTATATGGGCCTTGGGTTTTTGGACGGGACCGGAACCGGTTACACAGGCCCCGGTTATAGGAATAGTGTTTGGGACCTATACCGATTTACATTCACGATGAATATCATATTGATGTATGAATATAGAAAATTTGTTGTATACATATAACATATATAATATTCATGATGAATAGTATGTATATTCATAATGAATGTTATATTGAACATGTGTATGCATGATAAATATCATATTGATGTATGAATAATGAAAAACTGTTGTATACTCATGAGCATATATAAAAATTCATGACGAATATTATGTATATTCATGATGAATATAGTACTGATGTATATTTAAAAATTATAGTATATACGTGAAAGTACATAAACATTCTTGATAATTAGTATTTATATTTATGATGAATGTTATAGTGAAAATATATATTAATGATGAATATCACAATAATATATGCATACAAAATATTTGTTATATACACATGAAAAGACATAACCATTTATGATGAATGTTATACTGAGTTGTATATTCATAATGAATATCATATTGATGTATGTATACTAAAGAGTTGTTGTATATAAATGAATGTACATAAATATTCATAATGAATTTTACACAAATATACCATTTCAAATAAAAATAAAACAAAAAAACTATATCGAGATGGATGTCAATCTAAAAGAATGAAATACTCGTTTTTTTGATATAATTTGTTTGATTAAAACAACCGAAAGGATCGAAACCATATTCGTAGGCCGACAATTTTTCTGAATAGGTCAAACTTGTGCTTGTTGTTGTGAAAGGACATTTTCCTTTATCGAAATTATCTCATGTAAAGTTAAGGGTGTAAACATATTATAATTAATAAGGAAAAGAAAAGGTCAAATAAGCAAATGTTTAGTTCATATTTGAAATCAATTCTATTTTTTCCCTTAATTCGGTTTTTAATAGGTTTCAGGGAGGGGTTCAAACGAGAACACATGTGAGTTACGTAAATGCGAGACCACTATTTATCCTATTTTTAGGAATATCTAAGACATATATGGATAAAATGGGAAGAAATGCAAATCACATGATGAACATACAGAGCTGATGATTGTAAACGTGATCATCACTGGTTTTGATTTATTACAATGAAGTCACATCATTATCACAACAAAATCACTTCATTGTCGTAGCAAAATCACCACATTATAAGAACTCTTTGACTCATCAAAGCATTATCATAACAAAATCACATCGTTATTAACAATGAAGACATCGGCATAATAAGTCTTAGCAACATTTAAGAGATAAAAGACAAATCTAAGATAATAGAAAATTGTTGATATTATACTGGTTTATTTTCATTCATTCTAATTTTTATTACAGGTTAATTAATTATAAAGACATATATAAGATATCAGAAAATTGTTGATATATACTAAATTACTTTTATTTATTCTGATTTTTATTATAATTTAATTAATTTAAATACCCATAAGTATTTTCCTATTTTCGTAAAACATTAATATTCTTTTTCTCGTTTAAACCTCCATCTACATGTATAATCATTAATGTAAAAAATCATGCTTATTATTCCCCAAAATTACACTTAAAGTTGAAGTATCATTTGAAAAAACTCTGAAGCAATATTAATGGTGTTATTTATTGGTTGGTTTTAGGGGCCGTTTACCAAATGTTTACCCAGGTAAGCGCTTATCAAGTCATATTACCTTACCGGATTAATATGGTAAGGACCAAAAATCTTACTTGATAAGAGCAAGATAAGGACCAAAAGTCTTACCCAACAAGTGAGAACAACGACTCTTACCATAATAAGCGCTTACTGACACTACAATATAAACGGGTTTATAGGACACTCTCAATTTCTAAGCGTCCTAATAGACCTTTTTATAAGACTTAATTTATAGGATAAAAAAATAAAGTGTCTTATTTAAAAGTGTTGTAATAAGTTCATACGACGTTTTTGGGCATCTTAACAAGTTTTTTAGGACATCTTAACAAGTTTTTAGGATAATTTTGATACAAAATGTCGCATTAGCAACTTTATAGGACACTTTTGAGAAGTGTCCTATAAACTCAATTTTTTATAGGACATTTGTTTTTGTAGGACATTTTCAAATAGCGTTCTATAAAGTTGCTAATGAGACGCTTTATATTAAAAGTATCATAAAAAACTTATTACAACGTCAAAAAACGTCATATAAACTTATTACAACGTCTTTAGATATGACACTTTATTTTTTTGGTCCTATTAACTAAGTCTTATAAAGAGGTCTATTAGGACACTTAAAATTTGGGAGTGTCCTATAAACCCGATTTTGTCGTAGTGTGAGTAAATTGTTGCATACAGTAACGTTTTAGTGGACTAAAGTCTTACCCAGTAAGTCAGTGGTAGTGTTAAATTTTACCAGTAAGCGTTTACCGGGTAAATGTTTGATAAACAGCCCCTTAATCTGATTTGATTGTGGTAACTTTTTCTTTGTTATTTTCAAAAGAACTCTTTCTTTTTGTAAGATTGCACACTTTGGTGATTCTTGAATCTTTGGATGCATTCTTTTGTGTTTGTACATATGAACAAGTCCACACAAATAACCATTGGGTACACAACAAGAGATTAATTTTGAACTTATCTTCAACAATTTTTAATTTTTTGCCGTCCGTTGACAATTTCCGAAGTAAATTCAAAGCTGCATAAAAACCAGTATCAATCCATTCATTGTCGTGCGTTATTCTTTTTCTAACCCTGCATCATGAAAACCAAGAAAAAGGGTCTAAAGAAGTTCATATATTACGTTACTGTGCCTTTACGGGTGCTTGAAAAAATCAATGAGTTTTACGTGAATATAGTTCTTGACTGTGCTGGAAGATTCAGTGAAAGAAGAGTTGTGTGCTACAATCAGACGTCATATTGTCATTATCGGATGTCGAAAAATGACGATTGGATGGTTGAAGATACAATGGAAACGGATCGTGTGTTCTCTTTGAGGAGGATCGATAGGAGAAGTGTGGTGAGAAGGAGTTACAGTATTGGAGTCGGGAGACTTGGGAGAATCGATGAAGAGAAGATTTGTGACTTCGAGGAAATTGGTGACGGTTTAAATAAGTTCTCAACGTATCAAAGTTATATCTGAAAGTCGGTTTCTTATTGAATCTTGTTGGATAAAAAGATTTCGGGAAACAACTGAGATCGAAATGTTTGGTGTGTTGGCTCGAAAAATATTGTTGTGATTATGGTAAAAAATATCTTTTAATTTACGTTACAAATTTAAAGTTCAAATCGTTTGAGTTGGACAACATAAATATCGACTTTTCTCGAATCAGGTAAATTTCAGGTCAAACATAAAATAAATCAAGTCAGATTTCGATCGCCCCTCGGTAAACATTGGTTTCAGTTTCAGTTTCTATTTTTTTAATCTGTTATTTTGTTTTTATTTAATTAAAAAAATAGGGTGTCTTTTTCAGCATCGGATGAAGGACGAATTTAAAATCCCATCATTTTTTTAGCTATGCATATTTAAGAACGAGTCAATAGGGGTCGTTTATCAGACATTTACCGGGTAAATGCTTATTAGTAAGAGTCATTATCTTCATTTGCTTTATCGGGTAAGATTGTCGATCTTTGTTATGTCTTTTATCAGGTAAGATTATTTATTCTTATCATACTCACTCGGTAATTAAGTAAGTATCTGTAAACATTTGATTACAGAGCCCAAATAATAGAGAACCCCAGACCAATGGCATCATCCATATTACCGGAGGAAGGTGGAGGGATTTAGGGTTTAAGGGTAGAAGAGATCGAAGCATGGGAATGAGTCGGGGATCCCAATACCCGTTCCCAACCCCGATCCCTTGTATTTGTCCCTGTCTCCGCCGGGGATGATGATCATATCCCCATCCTCGTCCCCAAAGGGGAAACAAAGATTTTTTTATACCAAAAAATTATACAATATTCACTATTTATTGAACTAGTAAAAACACTACCAAAATATTAAACTAAAACTTAAACAAGACCAGAAGTTTAAACTAATGCTATCAAAGTTAACGTCAAACGTACGAAAACTACATCGAGTATATCCAAGACATATCAAGTAATTGACTGAGCTTGAATAACCTGCTACTCGACTCGTTTACACCCTTAAAATACAACAATACAATATCAAGAAAACAATTATATTAACTGAATCCGACATAATGAATATCTATCAACATCTTCTTTTCTTAAAAAATCATTTTTTTTTTCTGAATGAGGTCTAAAGAACAAGGATTCCTTTGATTGTTTTTTGAATCTCTTCTTCGAGAGGTTGATGACTTCAGATGAAGAAGGACTGTCCATTTTGCTGGATTCATTTCTTATCAGAACTTTTTACTTTAAAATAGTTGATTTGTCATCTGTTTTTCAGATGAAAAAAGAATATCCATTTTGTTAGATTCATTTTCTTATCAAAACTTTTATTCTAAAACTATAAACTTTATAGATACTCTGGCCCTAAATTGTTTTATCCCCAGGACCAGATTTTTATGAAGACAAAAGATATCAAGTTTATCACTTTGTTCAATTAGCAAAATCTGAAACTTTTTCTACTGCGATAACTAACAAGAAAGCAAAATTTTAATTTTTTGTGAAAAATGATATTCATTATAGAAGAACATTTGACATCCGAGTAATCCTATGGGGAATGGAGGCCAGTTATAAATAAGTATTTCACACCTACGTAAGAGACAAGATATACTGATTTATAATGATTTCTTCTGCTAAGACAACTCCAAGAGCAGTAGATAATTATCTCAAAGCAAAGATAAATTTACCAGATAAGGGATCATCACGTCGTCAAGCTCACAGGCCCAATATCGGATTTGCCAATTTAGAGGACATGATAGAGGAAGATACCCATCATGTTTTCAGGACAGAGAAAAATAAATATATCTATACTATATTATAAAACATTTGACAAAAACTTTTGAAAACTATTTTTTATGCATGAAGTACTGTTTATTGATGCATATTACTTAAAATTCAAGGTTACAAGTAAATTGTGCATAAACACAACTTATTAAAGCTTCATGTTTGAATTTATGTAACCAATTGAGGATAAACGTAATCAAATAGAGGATAAACATCTCATTTTAAAATCTAAAAAAAATCTAAAATATAATTAGGATAATAATCAAATTCTAACAAAATAATTAATTATTATATTTATAAAAAAGTATATTATCAAACCAAATATAAATTACTTCATTATTGAACCTAAATTGAATTATAATAGAAATTTGAATTAAAAAATTACACAAAAATGAGAAATTTTAAATAGTTAATTTAATACTAATATCAATATATTTATGATATCTTCAAATTTATATTTTATTCAAAAATAAAAACATTGTCGTATTTTCAAAATCACATAAAACCATATTATAACATCGACCGAGATAAATAATAAAACGAAATATTAAAATCAAGATAGATCTCGCTGCATTCACGGGTATTCTATGAATCATAATACAAATCCATTTGGTCTCCGACAATGAATAGATTCGAAAGGAGAACCTTTGTTATTGTCATTAGTTCCATTTTTGGTGCAAAAGTTGAAGATAGAGCCCCAATTTGGTTGAATTTTTGAAGGGCTTCTTCTTCTTCATGCATAATGCCACGTATCAACTTCCTTCAAACACGTATCAATTTACAGAAGAAGCTTACTTTTGGATTGATCCCCATAAGTGCTTCATTCGTTTATGTAATTGTAAGAGGTTTTGAGTTCCAAACCTTATTGGCTGGAAGTTAACACAATGAAGCTTCGATCACAATCTCATGTTCAACCATGGAACCTCGTTAACAAGACCTGCAATCAAGTCAGTCCGATGTTGTTTGCTGTGTTTCTTCTGCTAGTTTCAATGGAGGTTATCGAGTCACGGCTCCTGGTTCAGACACTGCCAGGCTTCGTTGGTGATCTTCCTTTCACACTAGAAACTGGGTAAGATCATGCTTTCAGAAGTAACAAACCCTGTTCGCTGTTTATGATTATATACTGACTCATTAAGACAACAATTTGCTTTAAGTTATATTGGGGTAGGAGAATCCGATGATGTGCAGTTCTTTTACTACTTCATTGAGTCCGAAGGGAACCCGAAAGACGACCCGCTCATTCTTTGGCTTACTGGAGGCCCTGGTTGTTCAGCTCTTTCTGGCCTGCTGTATGAAATAGGTATCGCTTTGCAACAATCTACTCTTGACCAAATGTACTTGTATTTGACACTTTGCTGGTTCTGTGCAGGCCCGCTCACTATTAACTACCAAAATTCTACGTTGGAGAAGGCAGTACTTGAAATAAAACCTCATAGTTGGACAAAGGTGTCTAATTGTTACCTTGTTATATTACTTAATCCAAAGTACACCACCACTCGACTGCAAAAGAAACGTTCACTAAAACCACAACCTGATTGGTTTGATTTGAAGTTGTCTTCAAAGGTCAAAAGTACCACGAGGTCCCGGTTCAAATCCAAGGAGGAATAAAAATCCCCTAGTGGTTTAAATATGGTGACTCCGGCCTATCTGCAAAGCAGGTGGTCGGCCTGGGATTAGTCGGCTCGCATAGTGGGTTGAATATCCAGGATAATAATATAAAAAAAAAAAATAGAAACATTCACTAACCACTTGGGTTCTGGCCTTTTGGGCATTGGTTAAGGCTCAAGGATGTAGTGGAAATCCCATCTTACTTGGATTTGAATCTCTGAGCTACCAAAGCCGTTATGGCTATTGAGGTTCACCTGCGATGACTCCAGGTCATTCGTTGTCGACTAAAGATTAGTCATGCATGTAAGCTGGCCTGGACATCCATGATTCCATGGTTAAAATAATAACAGGCATATGCATTAGATATGATTTATTTTTTGGCATGCAGGGGTTTTGAATGTTGTCTATGAGGTTCTTTATAAATATGTAACATCAGTCTTTGTGTTTTAGTTTTGGGGGGTGTTTGGGATTGCTTATAAAAACAACTTATTGACTTATTCTAGTGTGACACCGGTAGTAAGCACTTTTGAGTGTTTGGATAAACAACTTATACCGGTGTCAAACCGGTAATAAAGAATTTTTGATTTATAATAAGTTGACAAGTGCTTTTGTAGAAAAGCATAAATTGTTTCAAGTAAGTACAACTTTTTATATATAATGAAATCAGTATTACATTTCAGGTGGCCAACATAATATTTGTTGATCAGCCTGCTGGATCTGGATTCTCCTATGCAAGAACTCCCGAGGGTTACAAAGCGAACGATACTTCATCAGCAATGCAGACTTATCAATTTCTGAGGAAGGTAGGGTGATTCTATTTTTTGGTGGATGGCCGAAAATCACAAAATTAAAAACCGGCAAATTAACCTAAATATTTGGTGGAGATCCCTTCTTACGCTTCTCACTTTTAACTCTCCTTCTCACCGGAACCCAACCCTAATTGATGAACACATTTCATGTCTATCCCCAGTGGCTTGTGGATCATCCTAAATTTCTCAAGAATCCATTTTATCTTGGTGGTGATTCTTACAGTGGCATAGTGCTGCCAATTGTCGTCGACGAAATCTATAACGGTACTCTTAAATACTTCTAGCACTTGCCTAAGATCTTGTTATAAAAAAACCCCGAGTTTGAGGGAATGAAGTCATTCCTAAGGTGCCGTTTACCAAACGTTTATCCGGGTAAGCGCTTACCAAGTCACTTTACTTTACTCGGATGAATATGGCAAGGACTAAAAAACTTACCCGGTAAGAGCGAAGGCAAAAATCGAGAGTCTTACCCGGTAAGTGAGGACGAGGACTCTTACCATGGTTAGCGCTTACTGGGATAAATTGTTGCATACCATGCGTTTTAATGAATAATATTTTATCCGGTAAGTAAGGGTGCGTTTGGTACACTGGACAGGGACGGGACAGAACATGACAGGGATCTCTGTCCCATGTTTGGCACGAATTTTATGTGGAACAGAGTGGAACAGGTCTGTTCCACCCTGTTCCATGCTGTTCCACCCTTACCCCATGGAACAGGGTGGAACAAGGTGGAACAGACTTATATTTTACCGATATAACCTCAAAATAAAACTTAATTTTCTTCTAAAACATCAAATATGTCTCTCTTTTACATTTTATTCATTCTTAAAAATATTATTTATTGTATTTTATGTTTCTTACACTTTCATTTACTATTTGATATTTAATCCATTTTAATTGATTATACGCTTGTTGGTAGTAGTTTTTTCTTCTTAGTATGGAATGCATATAGATTTGATTCGATAATGAATTTTTGATGCTTATATTATATTTACCTTTTTCATATATCATTAGTTGATTATGACATCATGTATTTTTGCAAGTAGTAGTGGTTTGATGTAACTTATACTTTGCACATTGTATTTGTTAACATTTATATTGATTATTTAGTGAAAAAAACACTAAACAGCTCACTAGGAGTAAATTGGTCATTTTAACAGTTCTGTCCAGTCCTGTCATGTCTTACCAAAGGCTGAACAACTGTCCTGTCATGTTCCTTCCTATCATGTCTCGTCCTATCCTGTCTACGTACCAAACGTACCCTAAGTGATAATGTTTTCCTCTTTTGTAGGTATTGGAATTGGAGAATGGCCACAAATCAACATCAAAGTACAAATTCATCAATGACTTGATAAGTCAAATTTCTTATTTATCAGCAGCTAACTTGTATTAGATCCTTTTAATAATGCTTACACTACAACAAAAAATTAATTTTACAGGATGTCTAAAATGTACAAGTGTCCTAATAAAATAGCTAATAGAACACTTTATTTTAAAAACATCCCAAAAACTTGTTAAAAACGTCCGGTAAACCTATTGTAATGCTTTTAGATATGACCCTTTATTTGGGCAAAAAGTTGATCATCGACAACTTCAACCAGGCCCACACGGAACCTGCCTCCAAAGACACCAATGTCATGGGGCTAGCGGGGGGGCCTAGGATCGAACGTAGGACATGTTTTGTACTTGGATCACTCAATTTGATAGTTTTTTTTTCTCGTCTTAGGGATACGTGCTCGGTAATCCTTCCACAGATACACGTAGCGAATCTAATTCGAGAATACCGTTTGCTCATCGAATGGCACTCTTATCGGATGCAATCTACAAGGTAATTAAATACGAATTTAGTTTCCGCCATGAGTGTTTCATATAGCTAAACGAGCCTTTCCTGCTTGCACCAAAACAACATTGCAATAAGTCCGGTAATTAAGCTACATACTTTTGCAGTCAGCTAAAGAAAATTGCCATGGAGAGTACTTGAACGTAGATCCCAACAACATTCTATGCATACGTGATCTTGAGGTGGTAGAAAAGGTATACGAGCTCGAGTTTTAACTTGGATTATTGCCTAACAACGTCGTCATCAAAATTTATATTCGTTTTAACGCTTTCTCGTTTTCGATCTCTAGTGCCTTGAAAGAATTTACAAGGGCCATATTTTAGAGCCTTCTTGTGAAAAACCTTCGAAACCCTTCAAATCTAATACGTTACGAAGGAGCATGCGATCTCTTGACACGACCTCTGTGGATGCTCGGCCTTTACCTCAATTTCAGACGCATTGGTGTCGAGTATTGCTCTCTCTCCTTCCTCTCCGTCTGGTTTCAGACGCGTTTTTATGATTCGTTGTCTTGTATCTATCTTAACGTAGGAGGGATCCTATATATACTCCTCCACTTGGGCGAACAGCAGAGATGTGCGCGAAGCTCTTCACATTCGTGAGGTTTGTTGTTTGCAGTGAGTTTAATTCATGCTCATCTTGATTACGTATAGTCGGATAATCGTCTCACGACCACCAGGAATTTAACGATATTGAGTGGGTACGATGCAATAAAACCTTTCGTCGTCATGTTCCCACAGAACGCATAGTTTACACACACAATGTCCCAAGTGTCGTTGGCTATCATCGACGCCTTGCTGATAAAAATTGTCGAGCTCTTGTATATAGGTAATACTCTTTGTTACTATGCTTCTTATTCAAGAACCGTGGGAACCAACCATTCATGACGAATAGTTGGTTTTCATGGTTCTCAAAATACGTGCGGTTATTCTATTATGCATGTAGTATTGCCTTCTTTCTTTCTATCTGTCTTTGACAGTGGAGATCATGATATGGTGGTTCCGTATATCGATACGCTGAACTGGATTGAATCGCTAAATCTGTCGGTCGAAAGTGATTGGACGCCTTGGTTTGTCAACAAACAAGTAGCCGGGTTAGTTTCGTTGTCGTTAGCAGCAGCCATGGCTTGGTATCAAGATAAATGCTGATAATTTTGTTGCAGATACACCATGAAATTCTCAAAAGATGAGTACAGCTTGACATATGCTACAGTCAAGGTGAGACATCTTCCTTGTTGCTTCTCCTCATTTGAAGCTGCTCTTGACCCATGATGATGATGATGATGATGGTGGTGTCTTTTTATGTTGTGAAAGGGAGGAGGTCACACAGCTCCAGAGTACAAGCCTAAAGAGTGTTTAAGCATGTTTACGAGGTGGCTTGCTTACGATCCTTTGTAAAAGGGTCGAGTTTGATGTTTTCTTGCTTACGTTGTATGCACGTATGCATCCGTCCACTCGTATGTAATCGTGTAATAAATAACGGGCTACTAATTAGTTAAGAACTTCTCGTGATCAATTTATGTTGATTTTATACATATACATATACATATACATACTTGGAATTATGTGAGACCAAGGGTTTTTCGTGAGACCCGCAAGACCAATTCTCAACCCTTGTATTAGATTTACAATCTCAACATTCATAATCACAAAATTGTCACGAGACTTTTCAATAATTACAAAATTGTCACCGTACAACTTTAGACCATTAGATCACTAGCTTATAAAGTTGATCAATGAACATAAATTGGTCTCACGTGTCTCACGAAAAACCCTTAGTCTCACGTGAATCTAACTCTACATATACATTACAACTACTTTTAGAAAAAAATCACATATATATGTAGAACTTTGTGATGTTGCAATCTAAATTGTCTTATTTATATTAAAGATTTCCTTCATTTTAATACACATCACTTGAGCATTTAAGGCAATACAGATTTTTTCTTATTGTAAAACGAAAATAAAAAAAGTAATATATACGTTAGAAAAATTCAAAATTTACGTTTAAATAATTCTTTGAGTAAATTACATTCTTGGTTCTTGTGGTTTATGTGTTTTAACACTCTGGGTCCCTATTTTAAAATATCTATAAATTACATTCTTATGGTTTGCATTTTATAACACATTTGGTCCCTACTGTTAACTCCATTAAATGTGCTGTAAAATGCAAACTACAAGTCCATATATATTTTAATAGGCAAATTGCATGAAAAAATAATGTACTTTAACTTGATTCTTATTTTGGGTAACGTACTTTCAAAACTTCTATTTTGATATTTAGATGTAAAAATTTTAAACATTTAAGTACCTAGTTTAAGCATTAACTGGTTATCATGTTGATGTGGCGAGTGATGAGATGAAATTGAGTTAAATAGCAAATAATACTGAGTTGAATACCACATCACTCGCCACATCAGCATGGTAACTGGTTAGTGCTTCAACCAGTTAATCGGGTACTTAAATGTTTAGAACTTTACATTTTATATACCAAAATGGAAGTTTTGAAACCTAAAATAAGAACCAAGTTAAAGTACATTATTTTTTCATGCAATTTGCTCTATTTTAAAATAGGGATCTATAGTGTTAAAATATATAAACCACATAGATCAAAAATGTAATTTACTCTAACTTTTTTTTTTTTTTACAAATAGTGTCTTTGAAAACTTAGAAATCCAAAAAATATGTCGATATTTATACCAAATTAAAAGAAATTATAAAATTTCGTTTCTTTAATATAATCTGTTTAATTCAAAATTTTATTACAATTTAGAGATTCAGATTTAAAAAAAGATATAACTTATTTCATTTTTAATGATAGAGTTTTTTTTTATGCATAACAATAATAATTGAGTATTTTATCGTATTAATGATTATCTTATATTCGGATATTGTCATCCATTCGTTATTAACTAGTTAGAATTTATAAAATTTAAATAATATACAATAATTATAAAGACTTAAAAGTCAAAGTGATAAGCATAAAAGAGATCTTGAGGGTGTTTGATATTACTTGTTTGAAATAACTTATTGTCTTCTATAAAATCATTTATTCAAAAACTTCTTGTTACCAGTTTAACATCAATATAAGTTGTTTATTCAAACATTAAAAAAATACTTATTACTAATACCCTACCAAAATAAATCAATCAATTATTTTTATAAGCAATCTCGAACGCATCGAATCCAACCATAATACAAAAGGAAACATAGATGATGAAATTTTTGGTTATTATATGAGGATGTTATGTATCAAATAATCCGAGTATCGGGGACACAATCAAAAACTCAAAATTGAGATTGCCACCATGAGGGTCACTCATCCTCCGGTAGCCGTCGCATTCGCCGCCACACCGGAAGAAGACGTCTTCGACTCTTTACGAACTGCTGCCACACATCTAACTGTTGGTGTAGCAGGTCTCCGGAAGAAGGCCACAGGAGTCAGGCCATGGCTCCTCCTCGATTCCACCGGCGAGGCCCAAGTTATCGAGGCCGGTAAACACGCTATCATGCGCCGGACGGGGCTACCTGCTCGTGATCTCCGCATCTTGGATCCGATTCTATCATATCCCTCTACCGTCCTTGGCAGAGAACGGGCCATCGTCATCAATCTTGAGCATATCAAGGCCATAATTACGGCACAAGAGGTGTTGCTGCTTAATTCAAAAGATCCTTCTGTTACTCCCTTCGTTGATGAACTTCAACGCCGTATCTTGCGTCATCATCACGCCACTTCTCAGGTTATCTAATTTCTTAATAGCGTCCTTTGCTGATTATTTGCACGCAGTTAAAATATGTTTTTGTTTGTACGAAATTGAACATAAAATTTTGAATTTGGTGTTACGTTATATTTGCGGAGATTTGAAGAATCTGTTAGCTCAGTGATGCCCTAATTTAAATGCAAACTACTGCAAGTGTTAACCTACTGTACTATAGTTCCTGTTTTCTATAACCATGGGCGAGCTAGGAATTTCAGACAAGGGGGGTCTGGCAGTCTGAAAATCAATTACATCATACACCTTTAGGCTTTAGCTACCCTAATCAATGAATGATGCACTTTGGTGTGCTCTTGATGAGCTCAAGTTTATGTGCACATGTCATGCTAAAGTTCAACTTACTCTATAAGGAAATCCCTCAAGTAAAAGATGATAGCTACAATATAGGATAGTATTCGCTATGATAGTGATAATATTGGGTTTATCATGTCATTTGTTAATCTAGCGTTTGAGTGGTGATGCCAGTGCAAAGAAGTCAGATATAACAAAGCCATCATCTGATTTCTTCAATTAGATCTCTATTAGTTCATACATGCCTCTCTTAAGTAAACTTCATAATTTGAAAACCATATATACATAGTGATCATTAAGTGTGAACAATGTTAAATTAGCCACAAATATATAGAACAAAAAAGTAGAAATAGAATTAAGAAAATTGAGAAAACCTCATAACTTCACTTCAACAAGACCATCATCTTCAATTTCACGTTATTATATCACTAAATTACACGAAAATATGTTTTTATGCATCTAAGTTAAAGGCCATTTTCTATCCAATCCTCACTGACATTGCACTTGAACGGAAACTTGAAGTCTTGAATAGAGGTCAGCTGACCCGACTTTCGGCTGAAACTATGCTATTCAAACTTTAAAACAAATTACATTATCCCAACATCAATATTCACCTGAACTAGGGTTTAGGTTTCTTTTTGGAGAACAAAACAAGTAAACAACATCAATACTCCTTTTTTTCTAAAAATTTTAAATATTGAGAGATTAATTGCTATTTTATGAATTCAAACATGTTTAAATAGAATAATTATGTATGTATACCTGTAGAGATAGAGAGAGAGAGAGAGGACGAGGGTCGGAGCAAGGAGCGGTCTAGCCGGGGGGTTGTCTGAGCATGGTGAGCGAGGGCGAGTGAATGGGGGTACGGTGTCTGGGGCTCTTGCTGACTGGGGTCTTTGTGGATTGGGCGAACAGTTTTGTGTGTGTTGGGGGTGGAGGGGGGGAGGCACCAGCCAGCCCCCTACTAGCTCTGCCTCTGCCTATAATGTTTCTTGAAATTGATGTGTTGGCTGTGTCAGTGTTGTTGCAGCCAGTGTCTGTACCTCCATCAAGGTGTCGGTGAAAACTCCAGACTCCTGCTTTAAATGCCAATTGCTGTATCTCTATCCTCAGTTCCTAGAGAAAAGCAAATGGAAAATAGTAATACACTTTTCACTTAGTTGTGACACAGGCAAACAAAAGCTTATTTTGTGATTGCTGATACTTATTGATGCAGTTTACCTTCTCTAAACTAGAGAAAAATATACTAATTTTAGTGAAAGTCTACGTTGAAATGACTGAGTGCAACTTTGTGCATTATAATGATATACCAATATGTACATAATTCAAGAACCAAGCATGATTCTGAAACTAACCTATGACAAGCTCATATACACGTAACAGGTGAAGTCCCCTTCAGCTTTGTCCTTGATGCAAGGTCCTGCATACGGATTACATTGATTGCTGCCCCTTATATTTATCCCATTACTGTCCATTGGTTGTTCTATCTAAGAGTTAAGGCTTTAGTTTCATCTATTGACATGAAAAGTTTTATACTTATCCCCTTACCATCCATTGGTTGTTAAGTATAAGAGTTGAAGGTTTAGTTCTGTCTATGGAAGTTGGAAGAGAACAACATGACTTGAAAGATCAACGTAGTTATTCCTGAATACCATCATTGAGATGATTTTGTCAATTAGCCTATCGATGAATTTCCACATACTGTATGTGAGTTGAGTACTCTGTCCTGCTGTGAATGAAGGTCTAAAGTTCAACCTACCATGTACTTCTCTTCAGTTGACCTGTTACTTTTACTCATGTGCATTGGCCAAACTATTTCTTAGAACTTAAAATAATGCTAATAGGTTTATCATTGACAACTAAGTTGATGGATACATTGCAAATACGTAGTCCAACTCTTGAACCTCTTTGTTACAATCCACCATCTAAACACCTTGTCTCTTCTGCGAGTGCTTGCAAGTATTAATTTTCTTGTAACTTGTTTAGGAGGGAATGATAGATGCTCATACTGACTGGACACATTTGTACGATTTGGGAGAGCCACGGTCAAGAGAGGCCAGCCCTCCAAGAGTAGATGCGAGCATCCCAGAGGGAGGTCAGGAGGTTAAAGCTGATGGAAAACATTCTTTTGATAAGCGAGAAGGACCAAAGCTTCTTCCATTTGAGTTCATTGCACTGGAGGCATGCCTGGAGGCAGCTTGTAGTTCCTTGGATAATGAGGTGAGAAGGTTTTATGGCCATCATCTTGTTCCCTGTGAATTATGTTCATATGTTTACTGATGTTTTCTGGGAAATTTCTTTCTTGTCATCTTTCGTAAACTAGGCACGGACATTGGAACAAGAAGCACATCCAGCACTGGATAAGTTGACCTCAAAGATCAGTACTCTCAATTTGGAACGTGTCCGCCAAATTAAAAGTCGGTTGGTTGCTATTACAGGACGTGTTCAAAAGGTTTGTGGGTTCAAGCTCATAATTCAAATCAAAATGGTAACCTTTTAGGTGCTATCGGTAGGCTGGGTGAAAGAACTGTGGAAGGTTTTAAGTTTTTAATTTGTTATGAGTAGTTTAGTAATTTACCAATCTTGTTCTGCCTCCCTGATTTTTGTTCCATTAAGATCCGATTTGATCCTTCTTTTCTAGAGTTATTTATTATGAATTCATGTTGATTCAGGTCAGGGATGAATTAGAACATTTGTTAGATGATGACGAAGATATGGCTGAAATGTATCTGACAGACAAGCTGGAGCAACAACTAGACAATTCCTCTTCATCTTCTTCGTTTGTTAACGAGGAAGATGAAGAGATTCTTCAAACAGAAACTGATGATAGGTATCTTTGCTACTATTATCTCATCTGGAAATTACTGTTATACACTCCGTCTGTATCAAAATAAATGTCCACAATCAGAAAGTATTACACTTTTTAATCAACTAAATGACAATTCCTGTTAAAATAGAAACGTGGACATCTATTTTGTTAGAGTTCCTACTGCTAAGGGTTGAACGGGATGGCTACAGGAACATAAATGAAGGCGACATCGAGCAGATGGATAACCAGCAGCAGGCTGAACAGCTATTCCGAGCTAATACACTTGGGAGAGACAGCCGTGGGACTCGAACCAGCACGACTAGAAGTGGTAACAGCAAGCACCTTGATGTTGAGGAACTAGAAATGCTTTTGGAAGCGTACTTTGTTCAGATTGATGGCACTCTGAATAAACTATCCACGGTAGGCGCCACTTAACTTCACCTGTAGCAAAAGTAGATTGATATTTGATGACTTTTTGACTGAGCTGTGGGTGTTGTGCAGCTGAGGGAGTATGTGGATGATACAGAGGATTACATCAACATAATGCTGGATGACAAGCAGAATCACCTTCTGCAAATGGGTGTTATGTTGACGACGGCAACTCTGGTGGTGAGCGCATTCGTGGTGGTTGCCGGAGTGTTTGGAATGAATATTAATATCGAGCTGTTTCTAGGTGACACGGAGCCGGAGAAGGAAGTCGGTATGCGTAAATTTCTGTGGACGGTTGGTGGTGGTACTACTGGCAGCATCTTCCTATATGTTATCGCTATTGCTTGGTGCAAGAAACAAAGGCTTCTCGAGTAGTTTATTTAGTAGTGAGATCCATCAGCATCAATTTTTTTTTATATATAAAAATAATCTATTATACATTATTATTATTATTAACATAACTGACTTGGTTTTTTTGGATAGAATAAATTAGGAGGTTGCAAGTTACTTTATGTTAATAAATTGGTGTTGTCTGGTAGCTGCTGAATGTTTTGGTGCAAAATGATTAATTGGTTAAAATGATTAAGAAGCTTTCATGATGTAATGCAAAATGAAATATAATTGTGTTGGTAATTGTTTACAATGAAATTAGGGCGCTGAATGGTTAAGGAGGGTTCAAGATACAAAATCATTCAGAGGATTGTAGAACCATTAAAAGGTCAAAAAAAAATTGTCAAACAAAATTCATCTCTTAATGATTCAAAATGTGTGTAAACAAACAACCCCTAAGACCCTGATTTTCTTTTAAAACAAATAAACCATCGAACTTTTTACTAGTCGGTTAATTAAACTTTTGTTGATTAAAAAAAATGTAGGTAACCAATTTTTAAAAATGCAATGATTTTTCTTTTTTTAAATGTTCAGGAGAAAATTAGAAAGTTCAATGATTTTTTCATTCAAAATGAGAAAGTTTAATATTTTTCTCGTTTAAAAAAATAATTCCAAGACCTAATCATCAAAATAAAAAACTTTAAGTTTTTTCATTAAAAAAATAATTCAAATACTTAATCATTTAATAATTCGTTGGGTTTTTTTAAACTTAATGAACAATCAAACTGAAGTGGCATATTTCCTCTGCATATTTGTGAGCTCCCAATATGAACTACATACGTTAGTGGTTGTTTGTTTTTTGTAGTTATTAGTTTATATTAGACCAGTTGATCAATCTATAAATACGTATGAAAAATATTTTTTATACTTATTTTTTGGATGTTATGGTTCGACCATCTCTATTCATGTGTCAGAACGGTTTAATAACAATATTATAATATATATATATATATATATATATATATATATATATATATATATATATTTAACATGTTGAACAGTTTAGTTCATTACCGTATTTGTTTTTACACGTTTTATGTTTTATGTATGAATTAATAAATGGTGATTTACATATTCTTTTCAAATTAAATTTGAACTTTATATTGTTTTTTATACTTTAAAAAGATAAAATCAAATTCAAAAAAAGGGTGTTTTTGTCGATTTTCATTAATCCATTCCAATTCCTTTGTAACCCAAACAGACATATTTTAATTCATTTAATAGATTACATTATATTTTATGTCAAACAAACACTTGGTCAAACCTGATAATGTTTCATTTTAGTTCTTTCTAGATTCTTATTCCGTTGACAGATTTCATCCATTCAAAAAACATTATGTGAACCAAACGTTCATGAGCTAACCGATGTTATTTCTCCTTGAATCACATGCTCTCTTTTAGAGTAAATTACGTTTTTCTTCCTTGTAGTTTGTTAAAAGTTATGATTTGTAATTCAATGTTATTTTTGTCCATAGACTAATTCCTACCTTTAAAGTACAAGAGACCAAAACAATAAATATTTTTAAACCATAAGAAACGAAACAACAATAAATTGTAATCATAACGACAAAAATAACAATAAACTGTAAAGTATAGGGACTGAAACAACAATAAATTATAATCATACTGACAAAAATAACAATAACTGTAAAGCATAGGGACCGAAACAACAACAAATTGTAGAACATACAGATCAAACTCACAATTTCTAAACCATGGAGATGAAAATCGAAATAATTAAGAAACCACATGTACGAAAATCATAATTTACTCTCTTTTGAGAGGGGGATTAAGAATTTGAGGCAAGTTTGTGTTTTTTATTTAGGAAAAAGTTTAGAAAAACCAACGAACTATCCATTTTGATTGATTAAGTTCCTGAATGAAAAAAACCATTAAACTTTCTCATTTTAAATGATTAGGTTCCTGATTATTTTTTAATAGACAAACCATCGAACTTTCTCATTTTGTGTGAGGTTTGAATGCGTAGAGTTTAGATATGGTAAAACTGATTTAAATTTCTTTTTACTTTAAAACTTTTCTAGTCAGTTATTTTTTTAGTTAAAATGATGCAAGTAACCAATTTTTAAAAGTTTCATAGTTTATTTTATTGAAAAAATGTTATTCAAAATGAGAAACTTTAATAGTTTTTTCAAATAATAGTCCGGGACTTCAATCATTCAAAATAGGAAAGTTTAATGATTTTTTCATTCAAAAGATATCGAAGACTTAATCATTCAAAATAGAATAGTTCGTTGGATTTTTATAAACTTTTTTCTTATATTTATTTACTAACTTCTTACAATAGAAATAAAATAATGGTACAAGCTAAATATGTATTTATACATTACATCTTTCATTTGAAACTACAAACTAAACACTTACCCGGTAAACAGTTACTGGTAAAATCTAACACTATCGCTTACTTACTGGACAGGATTTTATTCACTAAAACGCATCGTATGCAACAATTTATCCCGGTCAGCGCTAACCATGTTAAGGGTCATTGTCCTCACTTACCGGGTAAGATTCTTAGTCTTCGCCATATTCATCCAGTAAAGTAAATTGACTTGGTAAGCACTTACCCGGGTAAGCATTTGGTAAACGACACCTCAGTAGAGGAGTTGAAATGCACAAATTCATCTTGGACTTGATCATTGTCTTCTTCCAAAGGAAGCTTGGTTACCACCCCACTTGTTGAACTCAAAATCAACCATTTTATCATCCACAAAATATAGCAAATCTTTTTTTTATTAACTTGGATATCCAACCCGCTATGCGAGCCAACTAATCTCAGGGCAATCACCTGTTTTGCAGATTGCCCGAAGTCACCGTATTTGAACCTTCGTGGCCACAAGGGGATTTTTATTCCTCCTTGGATTTGAACATGAGACCTCCTGATACTTTTGACCTAAGGAGTCAAACTCAAACCAATCATGTACCACCCTTATGGTTCAAAACATAGCAAATCTTGAACCATTATTTGTGAACTTTCTTCTGTAACCTTCTTTTGGCTTTTGCAGCCATTAACAACCTTTTTCATGCATTCTTGTTTGTGTTGTTGAGCATCTGAAACCATCATCATTTGCCATTTTTGGATTTCTGAAGAGAATCATGGTAAGGAGATGCCCAACCAGATGATGATCACATGGACCCATCACTGCATTCTCAACCAAAATCTGGTTCCATCATTGCAGTCGTTTTGTCGTCTTGAATCGAGGATGGTGGTGAACCAAAAAGCGCCACCTGGAACCACCACCCCTCAACATGTTTGATGAACGTGGATTTAGATCCTACATGTTTTGATCATGTTACATTTGGGGTGTTTGTTTACCTCTTAATAGTTCTATTAAGACGCAGTCTCTGAATCGTTAAGAGCTGAATCTTGTTTGACAAAAAAAAGTTTGCCTCTTAATGGTTCAAAACCCTCTGAATAATTTTGTATCATGGATCTCCCTTAACCATTAAGAGCCATAATTTCATTGTACACAATTACCAAGCAATTATATTTTATTTTGCACTATATCATGAGAGCCTCTTAATCATTCCGACCACTTAATCATTCTGCACCAAATCATTCAGCAATTATAAAACAACCCCCAAGAAAAGGATGTCTAAACATAAATAACCCTTATCGCCTTGCATATTTTTAGACTCTAGTCGGCTTTGTCGGGTTGGGATGATTTGGGCCTAACCTTTTTTGACCAAACCACGTCAACCTCTTAAACTTAACACTCAATTGGCTCTAATTTTATCCTCGTCTTGATTGGATTCATTGTTCCATTCTTTCGGGTTCGGTTGAATAGTTGGCTCATCAAATTCCCCTTTTTAAGGTTATTTGTGTAATATTATGTTCTCGTAAAACTTTTAGATAAAGAAAACCCAAGTACGATAAAGAATTGGGGCAAAAATCAAGTTACCACAACCTTGCCCGCGACTCAGGGTCGAGGCTAGGATCGCGTAACCCGTTGTGTTATGGCCTAGCTCACAAGGGGAGTCAGGGGACAAAGAAAATCCGTGTGTGTGTGTGTGGAAATAGATGTGGGCGACCAACATCGCGACCCTAGGTCGTGGGCATGGTCGTGGGGATGGCCCTAATCCGTTTTAAAGGGTATTTTAGCCATTTTTCTCAACTCTCCTCATTTCTCTCTACATTTGTGTTGGTTGGGAGCTACTAGGTCGATTTTAAGGATTTGACAAACGGCCCCTTGGTGTTCTCATATCAAGCTTTGGTTTATGTTGGATTTATGCCATTGGAGATTTATTGACTGAGCCATTTATTGATTATTTATTTTATCTAGATATGATGAAATAAAATAGGATAAAATAGTTGTTTAGCATTTGGTAAGATATAATTAAACATGACATGACTATACAGATAAAATGACCAATTTACCCCTAATGAGTTGTTTATATATTTTGATTTAATTATGTAATTTATTAAATTATAATCAAATAAATATTTTTTACAACAAAATACACCATTAAAAAGTCTTCGTCAAGACGATTAGAGTGATAACAAAATAAAAAGTTTATGTAGTTTCTAATTTTTATTATATCTCTTCTAAATTATTTTTATTATTAATATTTAATAAATTACACAAATTGATCAAAATATAGAAATTGTGTAAAAATAATATTTTGAGGACGGTAAAATGAAAGCTTATAAAGAATAAAGTACAGTAAATTAAATTAAAAGAATGAATAAAATGTAAAGAGAAAGGCATATTTGATGTTTTAAAAGAAAATTAAGTTTTATTTTGAGGTTATATTAGTAAAACACAAGTCTGTTACAACTTGTTTCTATGCAGTGGGGTGGAACAAGAATGTTTCACTTTGTTCCTCTCTGTTCCATATAAAAGTCCTGCTAAACATGAAACAATTATCTCTGTTCTGTTCTATTCTGTCATATCCAATGTACATAAAAAGTGTATGTGTTTGATGTGGTTTGACACATCTATAATATTTTTAAGTATCATATTGTAATACAATAGATCCATAAACATATGAGTCGGTATGTGAGTTGAAAGTGGGATAGTTGTTCCCATGACATTGTTAGATACAAATATTGAATCACCAGATGACTCAAGTTATAGACCACAGGTGGTTGAACTTGATGACCGTGTGACCCGTAATAGTTTTGATGCTAGCG